GGGTGTACGACTAGGTTTGACTGTAATAGTAATAACTATTCTATTTAGGTTATTTCATGTTGAAGGAATTTTTGGAAAGGGTACATTGTATGTTTTATGTAAAGTGTTATTTCAGCTTCTTAACTGATACATGTACGTAGGGGTCTTTCTGTTTGCAATGGATTTTCTTTGCCTTTCTCAAAAAGAGCAAAGAATCTTTTGTGTTTAGAAGGTTCTTGTTGGTGTAGAATTGGGTCTGATTATTTTGATTTTTTGTCATAAGGAGAGGATGTTTGGAGGATACAACTGGTCTCTACTGTTTTTTTTATGTTTTTTTTATGTATCTATTAATTTTCGTAGCCTACCTAATGTATGAGCAAGACACATCAGTGCATTAATGAAGATGATGGTTTAATTTAAATTAATTGCTCTTTAAGTTAGTAAGGGAAAATATATTTATCGGTTTTCCAGTATTGCTCCACATGAACTCACCTGTACTGTTGAATTATTATTAACTTTCCAGATGTGATTTGCGAATAAAAGTGAGAACGACACCCATAAGATAAGTTGTGTTTAGTTTATACTAGATACATTATCAGAGATCGTTACAGAACATTCCTCATATTGTTGCAGGTCTGCGTTGAATAGCTTGAATGTATTGAGTGCAGAACAGTGTGTGTGAAGGCTTTGGAGGGGGGGGTTTATGGCCACTGCTCACCATCTTGACCCACTATGTGAGTAGAGTCTGTTTGTTTACATTGCTAGGTCTCTGATGTAATGATGTACAGTGGAAACCTGATATAACAGGGATGGTGGGACCAGAGAAAAAGTCCTGTTATATCAGATCCCTGTTAAATCAGAAATGCAAGGGAAGTAAGCATTTGTGGACTAGTCCAGCTGTATTTATTCATGGGTAGTTTCCCATTGTCTGTGTATGAAACATTATGCGTGCATGTAGCTAGGCTTAGGGCTAGATCGATGTCTGCAGCACACCGCAGCCCTCTCTCGCTTCACCCGCTGCGTGTTGCAGTGACGTGGCTTGCGTTGGCTAGCTCCATCACTGCGTTACTCTCTCTCTCTCTCTCTCTCTCTCTCTCTCTCTCTCTCTCTCTCTTACTTTTTTCACATTGTTAACAACCATGTTTCCCTGCTATAACTGATTTGGCTTAGATGATGAGGCCCTGTTATTGCCGATAACTTTTAATAGAGACAAAGAGTAGGATTCCTGTTATTACCGGGCCTGTTATATTATGGTTTCCACTGTATCATAACAATAACATCCTAAACTTTAGAGTTTAAGAAAAGTCTAAAGACATATTTGTTCAACGCTATCCTCTATTGACTACTGGTAAATTTTGTATGATAATGTCTGTGGAACTTTGAGCTGTGTGTGTGTTTATGTCTATGTGCACATACATGCATAGGTTTGTGTGTGTGTTGTTTATTGGTCTCACAGCGTGCATTTTCTGTCCTTTGATTTGTCCATTAAATAATAATAATTCTGCATTATAAAGGAGTGAGAGCCTTCTGGGATTAGACGTTATAAATTCCCACCATTAGTATAATTGGTCGCTTTTAAGCACAAGGGGGCTAACCCAGAAAAATGCTGTTGTGAGAAAATAGAAGGTAAAGTTTTTACCCCTTATTCAGTTTCTTTTTTTAAAAGGACAGTTTTCTCTATAACCAAACAAATATAAACACCAATGAAACCAAACTTCTATAGATAGGGCAATGCCCACTTTTGGTCTTGGTCAAGATTTCTGGAAACCCCTGAATTCTGGGTTAGCCCGCTTGTCCTTAAAAGCGACCAATTGTCAACAGCACTTGAGATGTTGTTTCACCAGGGTCTGTGGTGTAGTGTAGTAACTAGTAGTGGCTAGGCACTTCTCTGTCGCACGGACGAGACCAGAGCTCAATTCCCAAGTGGAGAGAATCTTTATCGAGTATCTCGGTCTTTCTGCTGGGTTAGCTCTGACTCTGACAGACAGGGTCAGAAGACCGCCTCCTAATTGATCTAAGTTGTGTTGATCGTGGCATCATAAAATCACCTACATTTTTTTACAGTGTGTTTAGGTAATGCTGAGTTTTGTTTTTGTTTTTGAGGGATGGGGGTGTTTAAATTTTTGTCTTCTACTGTAGCGACAAAAACCACAAAGAGAGGTAAAGTGCACTCTGGTCAGTGCAATGGTTCAGGGAGAACTCAGGAAAAATGCACATTTGGCACAGAGATAGGAATGTAGACATCTAGACCTATGGTGAAATTTAACACTCCCTTCCGGCCCACTTCCTTACCTTCCTCAAGTACTGAGAAAGTGATTGCCAAGAACAAAATAGTTTTACATGTATCTATAGGTAGAGTTGCAACAGTAAGAATACATACAAAGTAATAATTGATCAGTCCTGACTCGGTGAATTTTTACTTTCGAGTGAAACAATTTTACGTCATTTAGGAGGCGGGCTTCCGACCCTGCCTGTCAGGGCCAACTCAGATTGAGAGAGACAACATCTCAGTGGAAAGACCAAGATACTTGATAAAAAAATTTCCCGATCCCCACTCAAGAATCAAACTCAAGTCGGGGACTCTCGTGGCCTAGAGTTTAAGGTGTTCGTCTTTCATTCAAAGGTCCCGGGTTCGAATCGGGGTAGCGACCGAAAAATTTTCTTCTCTAAAAAATGTATCCTTTCACCTCCTTTCTTGCTCTCTTGCAATATTCTGTCGTCTGCTTTTGTCTCCACTTTCTACCCTCACCCCGTCACCTCTTTTGCCCCAACCTCTGAGCTCCTGACTCTTCTTTCTATTGTCTTTCTACTGCTACTCCTTGGCTCCTTCTTACAGCTGTCTTTCAGCCACACCCCTGACCTTCTGGTAAGAAAGATCTACTGTAATCTACACCTAGCCTTCTCGGACAAGAGCGAAAAATCTCGGAGGTCCCGTGTGCTAGTTGCGCTTGTTAAAGATCCTTTGGTGGTCTAACATTGAATACCGGTATAAGTAGAGTACGCTTCGGCCGCCACCCAGGCAAAATTCAACATTTCCTACCAAATAAAAATGTTTAATGTGTCCCGCGCGCTCATCATTTGACCTTATGCAGTTGCGAGCGCCGTAAAACACATACTTTAAAAAAAAGGAAAACTCTGGTCCCCAGCATGCGACAGTTAACCACTTAACTGCTACACCAAAACACGGGGGAAATTTCAACACAATTCTGTCCCCGTGGCTTTATGCACCCTGCATAATTTAGCAAAATTTGATAATTTTTTACATTATTTCTGATTATTTTCCTTTATCATTCTTTGTTAACATTAACAGAATCGCATAATTTCACATTTTTGGGCTCAGTTTGCATAATTTCAGAATTCTTCTTGCATAAAACGACGGGGACAGACAATTAGCCTCAGCATAAGTAATACTTGTTTGAATAAAAACATCAAATTCAAATGCTCCAAAAACTAAGCTTTTCAACGATTAAGGCAATATTCATATTGGGATATAAATGAACAAGTAAAGTGCAATATATTTATTAGATGCAGCAATATGTCATGTAGTAGCTTTCACGAAATCATACCTTGATTTATAACAAAATAAGTTCCAAGGCATCGAACTACAGGTTTAGCTTGTTTTCACTGAACCCCCCCGAAAAAAAAGACACGCAACAAAAAACAAACAAACAAACAGGATTAGTCTGCGAATTTTTCGAACTTTAAAGAAATGTAAGTATCAAAATTCTCAGAAAAATGAGATTTAGACATCTAGCTCATTAAAACATTGCTGTGTCGAAAATGTTTAACAAGTTGAAAAATAACAGAGACACGGTCAACGGGAAATAACTGTAAAAATTGTTGAGACGAAAAATATTTAATGGATTAATGCCCTTTGACCTGCGCCGGAAAATTCGATGGAATAAATACTAATCAAAATGATACATAAACGATGAGAATTTGCATAGAGAAGGTATGGAATTATGTAAATATCAGTTGTGAAATCGTTATCTATTTTAATATCACTTTTTTTTAGGCGTGATATGATTACTGTCTAATGGGTACACATGTTTTAGGTTTAGACGAAACGATACAACTTCAGCTTTTTCCATTCCGGCAAAGCATGGACTATCCACCGTCTGTCACGAAAAAAAAAATTTTTCAAAGGAAATGTAA